TGGAGACCCCTGCCAGTGTGTTGCTGGAGACCTCTGCCAGTGTGTTGCTGGAGACACCTGCCAGTGTGTTGCTGGAGACCTCTGCCAGTGTGTTGCTGGAGACTCCTGCCAGTGTGTTGCTGGAGACCTCTGCCAGTGTGTTGCTGGAGACCCCTGCCAGTGTGTTGCTGGAGACCTCTGCCAGTGTGTTGCTGGAGACCTCTGCCAGTGTGTTGCTGGAGACCTCTGCCAGTGTGTTGCTGGAGACCTCTGCCAGTGTGTTGCTGGAGACCTCTGCCAGTGTGTTGCTGGAGACCTCTGCCAGTGTGTTGCTGGAGACTCCTGCCAGTGTGTTGCTGGAGACCTCTGCCAGTGTGTTGCTGGAGACCTCTGCCAGTGTGTTGCTGGAGACCCCTGCCAGTGTGTTGCTGGAGACCTCTGCCAGTGTGTTGCTGGAGACCTCTGCCAGTGTGTTGCTGGAGACTCCTGTCAGTGTGTTGCTGGAGACCTCTGTCAGTGTGTTGCTGGAGACCTCTGCCAGTGTGTTGCTGGAGACCTCTGCCAGTGTGTTGCTGGAGACCCCTGCCAGTGTGTTGCTGGAGACCTCTGCCAGTGTGTTGCTGGAGACCTCTGCCAGTGTGTTGCTGGAGACCTCTGCCAGTGTGTTGCTGGAGACCCCTGCCAGTGTGTTGCTGGAGACCTCTGCCAGTGTGTTGCTGGAGACCTCTGCCAGTGTGTTGCTGGAGACTCCTGCCAGTGTGTTGCTGGAGACCTCTGCCATTGTGTTGCTGGAGACTCCTGCCTGTGTGTTGCTGGAGACCCCTGCCAGTGTGTTGCTGGAGACCTCTGCCAGTGTGTTGCTGGAGACTCCTGCCAGTGTGTTGCTGGAGACCTCTGCCATTGTGTTGCTGGAGACTCCTGCCAGTGTGTTGCTGGAGACCTCTGCCAGTGTGTTGCTGGAGACCCCTGCCAGTGTGTTGCTGGAGACCTCTGCCAGTGTGTTGCTGGAGACCTCTGCCAGTGTGTTGCTGGAGACCTCTGCCAGTGTGTTGCTGGAGACCTCTGCCAGTGTGTTGCTGGAGACCTCTGCCAGTGTGTTGCTGGAGACTCCTGCCAGTGTGTTGCTGGAGACCTCTGCCATTGTGTTGCTGGAGACTCCTGCCAGTGTGTTGCTGGAGACCTCTGCCAGTGTGTTGCTGGAGACTCCTGCCAGTGTGTTGCTGGAGACCTCTGCCAGTGTGTTGCTGGAGACTCCTGCCAGTGTGTTGCTGGAGACCTCTGCCAGTGTGTTGCTGGAGACTCCTGCCAGTGTGTTGCTGGAGACCTCTGCCAGTGTGTTGCTGGAGACCTCTGCCAGTGTGTTGCTGGAGACCTCTGCCATTGTGTTGCTGGAGACCTCTGCCAGTGTGTTGCTGGAGACCTCTGCCAGTGTGTTGCTGGAGACCTCTGCCATTGTGTTGATGGAGACCTCTGCCATTGTGTTGCTGGAGAGTAGAAGTGGTGTTGTGGCACCGTGACGATACTGTATGGGACTGACCCATGATATACTGAGAAAGGTAAACTCGCCGGCGTGAGGACCATAGCAGACAGACTCATGGAGGGAACCTTGAGAAGTTGACGATAGAAGATAAAAGTGGACTCGCTGGGATAGAAGATTGTGGAAGTTTTATAGTATCCCGTGGGAAAGTGACCCCCTGCAGTGTTATGTCATGTTCATATGTATATATATATAGTTAAGAAGTACACCTGGTGATAGTTCTGTTTAGTGTTGTTTACCCCCTTTTCTTTTAGATTGATTATTACTGCCAGTTCTTAATAACTTACCAATGACTCGGGGTTTCATGGAGTAAGAAGAGGCACTACGGCTCCACATACAGTTTTATAAGTCAAGAGCCCTGTTGCTGACTAGGTGAGGGCACAACAGTCACCCACGGAGCAACGGCTGCATCCTGCACATTGCATCATCTGGTCACGAGAGTTACACCGGCCGTACATGACAATGTCTTTAGAAGACGCAAAGCTACAGACTCCGGGAGTGGGCAAACAAATGGCAACTAGAGTTAAATCCTAACAAGTGTAAGGTAATGAAGTTAGGAAGGGGAGAACATGTACCTGGACCATATGGGAAAGGCAAGGCACCTACTGGAATCAGAAAGTTAATACAATTTGGTAGTGGATATAATTCCAACACTAACACAGAGGCACACAAACTCAACCTCTGTTAAACCAATACTGGAATATGAAGCACCGGCTTGAAATTCGCATTTTGCGGAACAAAACCAAATATTACAAAGTGCAAAGGTTTGAAACAAGATTAGCGCCAAAGCTAACTGGGTTAAGATATGAAGATATTTTAAGAGAACTAGATCTCACAACGCCTAGAGGAGAGAAGCAACAGAATTGATATGATGACAACATACAAGATACTAAGGGAAATAGACAAGGACATCCTCTTAAAATTTAGAGAAAATAGGACAAGAGGAAATGGGTGGAAGCTAGAAACGCAAATGAGTCAAAGAAATGTGAGCATATGCTCGTACCGTGTATGAGTCAGCAAGTGAAATACACGGAGAGAACTTTTATGGAAGCCACTTCCATCCATAACTTTAAAACAAGATTCGAACAACAATTCAAACGTCAGAAATGTTAAATTATAATGAAATAGGTGCAACAAGACCGGAAGTCAGTAGCATAAAGAGCTTGACCTCACTTCTCCATAGTCACTGTAATGTAAGCACTATTAGCTAAGCACCACCACTGATAAGCTACAATGTAACAATTTCCAATCATCCAGTGATGCTCTCGATTTATTTGCATTGATTTCCGTGCAGCAGGGGAATTACCAGCCATTCACCATTACTCACTGTCATCAACCGGTAATTCATACCAATAACGGCTTTGTGAGCATGGAAAAGATCCGGAAAATTAAACAAAAATATGAAACTCGGGATGAAACAGCTCTAACAGGTTTACTGAACATACAAAAATACGGAACTCGGTTTGATGCAGTTTAAAGAGATTTAAAAAATACAAAACCTCAGCATTTCACGATTCGGTACCACGTTTTTAAATTTCCATAGTCCATACAGAACAAATACAACTATTACAACAATGTGACCGACTGTAACTGTGCCGTAAAACAGAGACAATTATATAATAACTGGCCTGACATACAGTCATTTCTTGACAACAGAATGGCGAGGAATTGTTATATCTACTGCACACGACATTTATTTCCCATTTTTGTTCTGGAGTGGGAGACTACTAGACTACCCCCCCCCCCCAATCCCCCTCACCTCATATTCCCTCTATTGTAGTGTCAAATTAACACCCATTACAGCCCTAGGTCCTTACCAGGAGTCCATGAAATAATTTGAAAGTGTTCAAGGGAATAATAATGTGTATTGTATTGTACCCTAACCAAAACAAGAACTACTTATGTGTTGAACTGAATCTCTAATTTTAACATTAACGTGCACTTTTAACTGAGAATAACAATGGAGGACATGTGAAGCTATTTGTCGCAGAAGTAACTACTGTCATTTTTTGCTAGCTCGATCTACTATGTTGTAGGGGTCCACAGATGAGAACGTGGTTGTAGGGGTCCACAGGTAAGAACATGGTTGTAGGGGTCCACAGGTGAGAACGTGGTTGGAAGAGGGGAACGATATATGACATTTTTGGAACCACTGCATTAGAGAGTACGAGATTACCCCACTTCATAGTCACACATTATAGTGTTAAGATTATCACTCATGCATATTCAGCAATAAAAAGCACTGGATTATCATCCCTTCCCCTTCCGTTGCATATTTAGTCATTATAACCATATCATACGGGAATTTAGGTGACAAAAAATGTTAAGTCTAATGACACTGAACGGACATAAAATTGATACAATAATTACACGTGAAAAAAATCGATGTCATAGACATTAGTAGGTTCTGAACATGCAACTAAGTACAGAGGTGTTATTAGATTATATATTTTCCCAGCATGAACTGTGCAAGTGTCAAGGGTTGACATGCATGACAACCCACGGGTTATTATCCATAATCCTAGTAATGCGTGTTACCTAGAATGTCACCCAGACGGGATCAGACTGTAGTTAAAAAGATCTTGTCACTTGGACAAGATCAAAGCACAAGCCATTCAATACAACACAATACCTGCAATAACCCTGACTATTTAAGCTCACATAGTCGTATTTTTTAGATAGTTTATGGAAGATAGTAATTACTTGGAAATATTTTACTTGATCACAACAACAAACTGAAGAATATCAATAAATAAAACACATTTTATTCAGCCTCACCCTACTGACACCATTATGGGATTTCTTGCCTCCATAAGACCCACTCAGCTGACTCACTGCATTCCTAATCACCATAATACTCACCGTCTCCTTCTCTCGCCCCTGAACAGAACCAAGGTGTGAGTCTATTACAAACGCCACTGCCACCACTGTTGTTTATTTATGAGAATTACAGCATTGCGATCAATGATATTACGAAGGGGAAAGTCAGGGAGGGGAAGTTTAGGGAGAAAGAAACAGACAGACAACACCAGAACCTTCAACACCGGAGAAATTTTGGTGACCTTACTGTCATATATAAGGCCAATGTTCTCGAGGTTCTGCACCAGGCAGCCATAACACAAGGCGCTCAGTTTCATGTTAGTTGTGCCTTTCTCAAGAACATCATTCCATCAGTAAGATAAATGTGGAAGAAGGAGTGTGGGAGGGAGGTTGTAAGGGATTCATAAGGAGGAAAGAGATCATGAGTGTGAAAAGGTAACATATATGGATCTCTTTCTGTAATGAGATAATCTACACGCGGCAACAATCAATGAGCTGCAGTTCCAGAGTCCTGATTTTCTGCTTGTGAGTCGTCTGATTCACTGGTTTACGACCCTTGTTTCATAACATCAATTTTTGAAGCTGTGTATAGATAGCATCAGCTACCTTCCCTGAAAGCTGCTTCAATGTTTGCCAACTTTACATTCACCTCCGGTGAGTGTTTATGGATTATGACGACCCCATGTCTGACCACCCCGTGTGTGACGACCCCGTGTCTGACCACCCCGTGTGTGACAACCCCGTGTCTGACCACCCCGTGTGTGACAACCCCGTGTCTGACCACCCCATGTCTGACCACCCCGTGTGTGACGACCCCGTGTCTGACCACCCCGTGTGTAACAACCCCGTGTCTGACCACCCCGTGTGTGACAACCCCGTGTCTGACCACCCCGTGTGTGACGACCCCGTGTCTGACCACCCCGTGTGTGACAACCCCGTGTCTGACCACCCCGTGTGTGACAACCCCGTGTCTGACCACCCCATGTCTGACCACCCCGTGTGTGACGACCCCGTGTCTGACCACCCCGTGTGTAACAACCCCGTGTCTGACCACCCCGTGTGTGACAACCCCGTGTCTGACCACCCCGTGTGTGACGACCCCGTGTGTGACGACCCTGTGTGTGACGACCCCGTGTGTGACGACCCTGTGTCTGAGGACCCCGTGTCTGACGACCCCGTGTGTGACGACCCCGTGTGTGACGACCCTGTGTCTGACCACCCCGTGTGTGACGACCCCGTGTGTGACGACCCCGTGTGTGACGACCCCGTGTCTGACGACCCCGTGTCTGACGACCGCGTGTCTGACGACCCCGTGTCTGACGACCCCGTGTCTGACCATCCCATGTCTGTCGACCCCGTGTGTGACGACCCTGTGTGTGACAAACCCATGTCTGATGACCCCGTGTGTGACGACCCCGTGTGTGACGACCCCCGTGTGTGACGACCCCGTGTGTGACGAGCCCGTGTGTGACGAGCCCGTGTGTGACGACCCCGTGTGTGACGACCCCGTGTGTGACGACCCCGTGTGTGACGACCCCCGTGTGTGACGACCCCCATGTGACGACCCCGTGTGTGACGACCCCGTGTGTGACGACCCCGTGTGTGACGACCCCGTGTCTGACGACCCTGTGTCTGACGACCCCGTGTGTGACGACCCCGTGTCTGACCACCCCGTGTGTGACGACCCCGTGTCTGACGACCCCGTGTCTGACGACCCCGTGTCTGACGACCCTGTGTCTGACGACCCTCTGTCTGACGACCCCGTGTGTGACGACCCCGTGTCTGACCACCCCGTGTGTGACGACCCCGTGTGTGACGACCCCCGTGTGTTTCGACCCCGTGTGTGACGACCCCGTGTGTGACGACCCCATGTGTGACGACCCCGTGTCTGACCACCCCGTGTGTGACGACCCCGTGTGTGACGACCCCATGTCTGACGACCCCGTGTCTGACCATCCCATGTCTGTGGACCCCGTGTGTGACGACCCTGTGTGTGACGACCCCATGTCTGACGACCCCGTGTGTGACGACCCCGTGTCGTCACAGTGGCCCCACAGCAATATTTTGTTTTCCTTTTTTCGTCCCCTTTTTAAGACTTCCGTTTTATTTTATTAGTTTTCATTATTAATTGTCTTTATTCTGTCCCTATTAATTGTATTTGTTCTTACATATTCATTTTATTTGCTCTTGCCTATTTATTTAATTTGTTCTTGATTATTTGTTGTCTCATTTGTGTCCTTGTTCATTTTATATGTTCTTCCCTATTTGTTTTTTTTGCTCTTCCTTAAATCTACTCAATATTTTACTAGTAAATCTATTCTTTCCTACTTATTTTATTTTCTCTTCATTTATTTGCTCTTCCCAATTTGTATTTTTGTCCTATATTTATTTTATCTGTTCTACACTGATGTTCATTGTTCTCCATAAGTTTTTCTTTGTTTTGCTTACATGTTTCCTTAGTTCTTTGGCAATTATTTTCTGTGTTCTTCTCTACAGATGTCCTTCCCTGGGCTTGGCGCAGACAAACACTTAATGCTCCGTCCTTCTGTGTAATGCTGTTACCCAACTTCTGGACCCCGGCCGTCCTTCCACCTCTTCCGGGAAAACAATTTAGAACTGGAATTGTTATGGGTCCGATAGGGAATTAGCCTTTTATGGGTTGGTCAGTGGGGGCCACTTATGGGTTGGCCAGTGGGGGCCACTTATGGGTTGGTCAGTGGGGGGCCACTTATGGGTTGGTCAGTGGGGGCCACTTATGGGTTGGTCAGTGAGGGCCACTTATGGGTTGGCCAGTGGGGGACACTTATGGGTTGGTCAGTGGGGGCCACTTATGGGTTGGCCAGTGGGGGCCACTTATGGGTTGGTCAGTGGGGGCCACTTATGGGTTGGTCAGTGTAGGCCACTTATGGGTTGGCCAGTGGGGGCCACTTATGGGGTGGCCAGTGGAGGCCACTTATGGGTTGGTCAGTGGAGGTCACTTATGGGTTGGCCAGTGGAGGCCACTTATGGGTTGGCCAGTGGAGGCCACTTATGGGTTGGTCAGTGGAGGCCACTTATGGGTTGGCCAGTGGAGGCCACTTATGGGTTGGCCAGTGGAGGCCACTTATGGGTTGGCCAGTGGAGGCCACTTATGGGTTGGCCAGTGGAGGCCACTTATGGGTTGGCCAGTGGAGGCCACTTATGGGTTGGCCAGTGGAGGCCACTTATGGGTTGGCCAGTGGAGGCCACTTATGGGTTGGCCAGTGGAGGCCACTTATGGGTTGGCCAGTGGAGGCCACTTATGGGTTGGCCATGGAGGCCACTTATGGGTTGGTCAGTGGAGGCCACTTATGGGTTGGCCAGTGGAGGCCACTTATGGGCGGGCCAGTGGAGGCCACTTATGGGTTGGTCAGTGGAGGCCACTTATGGGTTGGCCAGTGGAGGCCACTTATGGGTTGGCCAGTGGAGGCCACTTATGGGTTGGCCAGTGGAGGCCACTTATGGGTTGGCCAGTGGAGGCCACTTATGGGTTGGTCAGTGGAGGCCACTTATGGGTTGGCCAGTGGAGGCCACTTATGGGTTGGTCAGTGGAGGCCACTTATGGGTTGGCCAGTGGAGGCCACTTATGGGCGGGCCAGTGGAGGCCACTTATGGGTTGGTCAGTGGAGGCCACTTATGGGTTGGCCAGTGGAGGCCACTTATGGGCGGGCCAGTGGAGGCCACTTATGGGTTGGCCAGTGGGGGCCACTTATGGGCGGGCCAGTGGAGGCCACTTATGGGTTGGCCAGTGGAGGCCACTTATGGGCGGGCCAGTGGAGGCCACTTATGGGTTGGTCAGTGGGGGCCACTTATGGGTTGGTCAGTGGGGGCCACTTATGGGTTGGTCAGTGGGGGCCACTTATGGGTTGGTCAGTGGGGGCCACTTATGGGTTGTCAGTGGGGCCACTTATGGGTTGGTCAGTGGGGGCCACTTATGGGTTGGTCAGTGGGGGCCACTTATGGGTTGGTCAGTGGGGGCCACTTATGGGTTGGCCAGTGGAGGCCACTTATGGGTTGGTCAGTGGGGGCCACTTATGGGTTGGTCAGTGGGGGCCACTTATGGGTTGGTCAGTGGGGGCCACTTATGGGTTGGTCAGTGGGGGCCACTTATGGGTTGGTCAGTGGGGGCCACTTATGGAACGCATTGGGGAAAAAGAAAAATGTAATATATATATATATATATATATATATATATATATATATATATATATATATATATATATATATATGTTTCCTATTGACAATCACAGCTACCGTCTTGATCCTCTTAATTACCGTCCTGGTCATCGTAACTACCCTCTTGCGCAGCACAATTACCTTATTGATAGCCACAGCTACCGTCTCACCACAGCTACCGTCCCCACCACAGCTACCGTCCCACCACAGCTACCGTCCCACCACAACTACCGTCCCACCACAGTTACTGTCCCACCACAGCTACCGTCCCCACCACAGCTACCGTCCCCACCACAGCTACCGTCCCCACCACAGCTACCGTCCCCACCACAGCTACCGTCCCACCACAGCTACCGTCCCACCACAACTACCGTCCCACCACAGTTACTGTCCCACCACAGCTACCGTCCCCCACCACAGCTACCGTCCCCACCACAGCTACCGTCTCACCACAGCTACCGTCCCACCACAGCTACCGTCCCCACCACAGCTACCGTCCCACCACAGCTACCGTCCCACCACAGCTACCGTCTCACCACAGCTACCGTCCCCACCACAGCTACCGTCCCACCACAGCTACCGTCCCACCACAGCTACCGTCCCACCACAGCTACCGTCCCCACCACAGCTACCGTCCCCACCACAGCTACCGTCCCACCACAGCTACCGTCTCACCACAGCTACCGTCCCCACCACAGCTACCGTCCCACCACAGCTACCGTCCCACCACAACTACCATCCCACCACAGCTACCGTCCCACCACAGCTACCGTCCCACCACAACTACCGTCCCACCACAGCTACCGTCCCACCACAACTACCGTCCCACCACAGCTACCGTCCCACCACAACTACCATCCCACCACAGCTACCGTCCCCACCACAGCTACCGTCCCACCACAGCTACCGTCCCACCACAACTACCATCCCACCACAGCTACCGTCCCACCACAGCTACCGTCCCACCACAACTACCGTCCCACCACAGCTACCGTCCCACCACAGCTACCGTCTCACCACAGCTACCGTCCCCACCACAGCTACCGTCCCCACCACACGGTCTTGCTCATCACATTATACAATGTTGTGAGTTAAGGCGTCAGAGCGACAATTCGTCGAGGCGCTCCATAGTTAATCTTGATACACGAGAGTTGTGAGAGGAGCCCAACAAGCTCAGCCCAGACACTCTCCCTCCATTCAACCTTCCCTCTCCCCCCCGCCCCCCCCCCCTCTCATCCATCCTCCCCTTCCACCCATCCCCCCCTCCAACACTCCTACTCTCCCTCCCTCGCCTGCCCACCTGATACGACGGCTAAGATCCAGACGGTACAATGCGCCAATTCCAGGAATATTCCCGTTTCTGGCTCAATAGAATTCCTAATCGTGTGACGTGTTATCGAAGCGCACAGCAGCTAGCGAACTGTGTCCCGTGATCTCGCTCCTAAAATCATATTCCAGTGGTCTTCGTTGTCGGGGCGAGACTCGTTCTCCGTTTCCACACCGACTCCAGTTCCGCCGTCTTGACATACATCCTGGTTCCGGGGGAAACAAAAATGCAGCGAGGGTAAGTTGTTATCCTCGGCGCTGTCCAGTAATTATGAGGTTGAAATGACTCCAAACTCATAGTTCAATACGTCTGGTAATTTCATCATCATAATCACTGCTACCACAATCACTACTATCATAGATACAATTACCACCAGTATCTTGAGGTTATCTTGAGATGATTTCGGGACTTTAGTGTCCCG